CAGATGCTTACAAGCATGCAATTTACCATCGACTCTTTTGTTGACTGACAGGATTCGCAGCTTAAAAATTTGTCGCCCGCCGCCACCTGGAAGAGGGGCACAAAAGCTTTCACTCTATTTCAGTGTAGCTAGCGTTATTTTTGATGCATTCGCCTGATGCTGTTCCATGAGAATAAAATATGCATCAGAGGAAAGAGCCCGAACGATGCAAATCGTAAACGTGGGCGACGAATCCGCACGTGATGGCCGCCTGATCGAAGGGTAGAGTACTGGCCTAAACCTATGGAATTCGTGAACGTTAAGGAAATAAAGATCTCAACATGGTTTGCAACTCTGTAATCTGTATACTGCTAATAGGCTGTGAAATCTTAACAACAAGATTTATATATAGAAATTAAATAACTTATTTCGAGTTCACTACGTACGATTTAGCTGCCGTGTTATTACTATTATTATCGATATTTTCCCATCCGTAACCCGACATCGTACGCAGAGATTTGGAAAGCTTGATTTGTTTCGCCAGAATTGGCCTAGACCAATCCCCGATATAGCAATCGTTGTATTTGACGTCATGGTATTCGTTTCCACAGTCCACAGACATTGAAACGATTTCGATTACGGGCATCTCCAGTTGTGGATAGTTTATGCTAAATAATGTTAACAGGCAAAAAAAAAAACGCAATCGTCGTTTATATATCCGTGCAGATACGTTTAGGTGAAAACGACCATGGCGACAAGAACGACAAATACATGTTACGGGACCACCCATTACATGGAGACGCAGTTTTAATAGATTTCACAATTTACATAATTATTCTATCACTAGTGCTGAGACACACCTTACCGAAATGTTCACACTCCATTTTTTTTGCTCTTCTTTATTTAACAAACACTATCCTTCCATAGGCTGCATGTATGCGGGCAGCGGAAGCCCATGCTGGGAAACCCGTTGGCATAGCGCGACAGCTAGGAAAAGGGTCGCTGTAAGACTCAACGAAAGCTAGAGTCGAACATAACAAAAAATAACGTTTTATCTATGGATAAACATTTATGTACCCACACTTATTAATGAACCTGGACTCATCCAATTGAACGCTTGCGATGATGTCGTGTCCTATAAAAGCCCCTGCCGTGTGCCAGAACGAGAGAACTGTCGTAGAAGCTATATGGCGAGCAGAAATTTCCTGCACTTGATAGCGGACAGCGAATTTTGAAAACTGGATTTATTTATACTTTTTCTATAGGTACGATATATTACATATTCCGAAAAGTATAGATTATGGACTAAAATATGTTTTCCTATATTTGTTTTTTTCTTTTTGAAAAAAAAATAGGAAATCGTAGTTTTTTTGTCGGTGGCTGGGCTTGAACCGTTCAAGCCATCACGCCGACCATCCTTAATATGGACAAATGAGAAAATATGTAGGGTCTAATAACATTATTCAACGTAAAAACCGCCTGAAAATACAAAAATCACAATATTTCCGATGCCAGCATTTATACTTTGCATATATTTACGCAATTAAAATTCGTCGTCTTTTATTGTTACTTATAGAATGATGACGATGAAGCAAAGGGTTGGTTTGTTTTCGTTTCGATCTGTTACATCCCAAAGTGGATTTTTCACAGTCTACAATTAACGTTTGCTCCATACACCAAATGCTAGATAAAACATATGTAAAAAAACAAAAAAAAAAAAAAGAGGGAAAACATATTTATAACAGCAGCACTTCTGCAATGTCGAGGCCTATTAAATAACTAGGCGTTTCTAACGTTTTGACAGTCGTTCGTAAAACTGGACGCATCGGTCGCCTAACCCAACGTCGAACAACAGCATTTTAACGCCGATATTTTTTTGGATGTTTTGTGAATTTTTTTTTTTTGGGCGGTGCCGATAACGTTTGAAGTGCTAAAAGGATCAAATTGTTAAAGTGGATTCGACCACAATCTTGCATCAATTATGATATGTCAAAATTCCCTAAAGATACAAAAGGGAGAAATGCTCGAGATATGACATAGTTTGAAGCGCCTATTAGCACGTTGGTAATAACGATGATAAGCGCCGTACGCTGTAACGGACAACAACTGCGAAGCACGAGCAAACGTCGCGCCGTTGCTGCTCTTCGTACGTAAAATATACAAATACTCTAAGCAAAAGCTGCCAGTCCCGATAGGTTTTGGTCGGTCGCTTGAACATGCCAAGCGGCTTTACGTATGCCAGGGCGACGCGTACGTTTCGTTCGATCCAAACGAACAACAGGCAGCCATAGCCCTTACCGGCGGTGAGCTGAGCTCATAACACCGAGGCAAATCAGTGATCCGTAAACGATCGCTAGCCAAAACAAGGGGCTTCGGGTTCAATACTATAAGGTAACTCGAGCCACCGAATTCAAACAGCGAACAGAAAGCTAGAATGATGCGAAAATAATTCTAAATTCTGCTGCTGTAGCATTCGGTCATAGGGAGGAGGCCTCTTGACAGATCTGGTAAATGTCGGCATTAGAATAACTTACGATGTCGAGAGCACGTACGATTACGGGTACATTACAAACGATCGAACTGAAGACCATTTGTAACCTGCATGCCGCAGAAGAGTGCTAAGCAACAAACAACGCTTCCAGCGTAAATAATTGTGGGTATACCGCAACGTCAATGTAATTTGTTTGTTCCGACTCCGGTATTAGTTCATCAATGGCACACATCTACCGATGAGCACCGCAAGCGGCATGCACATAAAATATGATACACAAACTACCACTACACACTGTTTACAAGTCGACGTATAGCAGAACTATTTACAGCATAAACATTTGTTTTTGACAACGATGAGATCATATACTGTAACAGGGAAGTTTTGTTTTAGTTTAACGGGAGAAATAAGCCTGCTGTATTGAATATAGATTTTATTTAATGGTCGAACAGAAACACGTTTAGCCAAAATTCCCCTGGGGTAGAGAATTGTGGACGGGATTACCGAGACCGGTGGGCCGAAATTAATCGGGCCTAGCTACGTTCAAGATGACCTAACATTAACGTTAGCTGTGAACGACAGCTAAAAAGTATCAGGGAGGTCCAGGGGCGTATCGAAGAACCCATTAGGATCTCTTGCAATTAGCAAAGGTCGCTTATATTCGCACAGCCATCAATCGAACACGACTGAATCTAGGTATCTATGCTGCATAGCCGTTCGGTCATTTTGATCGATTTATTTTCTGGGCTTTAGTCTTCTTTTTTATACCGATAAGCCACAGCTGGACATTTTTACCTAGGCTATATCGTTGAAAAACATAATATGTATATACAATGAGTCGCTAAATGCTTTCCTGGATCATTTTTGCTTTTGTTGACCATTCTGTTCATTGATTTCCATCTGATTACGTAGCTTGCAGATACCGTCGATGGTTCAATAGAAATCAGTAGCTCGCCACAATAAAGAGAGGCTGTTTGAACTGGTGCTATGCTTCGCTTCCCCTTCAACACTTACCTTAATCACCTTACTGAACCGACACAGGTCTAAACAATGCCATTAGAAGGTAGGCCATCGCTCAGCCGAGCATTTCGACCGGTGGTCAATCATCAACGATGGGGCCTGGAAGATGACCAAATATTGAGAATATCAATATGATACGGTGGTGACCGAACGCTTTTTTTCCAGCAACACGGTACGGATTAGATGATAGACTTTTTTATCGTAAGTATAGCGGTGTTGTGTCTATGGTCAGCTAAATATGTGCTCCGATCGTACGCTTAAAGTTCCTTCTATTCGTCTCACCTCTCGTTAGGTGAGAGGCTGAGAACAATTATTAACAGGCCCTATATCCTAACTGCATTTGATAAACAATGTTGCGATTTTCACTAGTAAAGTGGGGGCTGTACTTTCTATCGCTCTATGAACAAGGCTTGAAGAACTGCCATGGCCAATTTTCATTATCCTGGGAAAGAAGATCGCATTTATAGAACGGTTTTATGGACGACAGCCTCTTAGTAGGTATGTAGAAATACGGATAGAACAAACAGAAAATATTTATTTGATCCATGTACTTTTAATTGCAGGCTCTATAAGATACTTGAGTTTCAACAAAAACTCATTATTCCATCCCCCTAATTTCATATCTTCTGCTACTTTTAATATGAGCTAGACCGTAACAGACCCTAATTTTAGTCAACGCAAAGCTGCACAAAACTGGATTGCCGTCGTCCTTAATAAATGAGTATCTGGTTCTTCATGCGGTCGTAAACAGTCTCAAGTAAATTATCAATGATCAATCTCATCACTTTCGGAACCCTAGTTAAACCTATACAAAATGTCCTATTTAGTAAATCTAAATGAAGCCTATGTATATTTTTAATAAACGCAGGCTTCATTTGGTCTCCTGCAGAAAATTTTCTGCATATGCGCCTTCGACCAACTTATATGGATCGTTCTTGTATTGAATCTAACAGAATAAATGGTCAAACTGACAAACGCGATTAACAATGAATTTTCTTGAAAGATACAGCGTCCATATCTGGAGGTGTATTAAGTATAGCTCGTGATCGTAGCCGCTGAAACCCCCGCACCGGTTCACTCATCAACCATCTGAAGTTGTTTTAAACAAATCTTCTTTTACGTTTGATACTATTCAAATGTATTATTAACATGCTGAGTTAATATATGTCTTCGGATAATTCCTCGCTTGCCAGCTTTAGTAGTAAACTATAGCTATGTGCGTTGAAATAGGCCGTACGGATCTAACATTTACTATCACGAATTTCAGAGCAGATGATAGTAGATTCCAGGATTAAACAGCAAAAATAATTTACATAGTACGAACAAGCTTTTCATGTATATATATATATATATATATATAGTCCATGTAAGCTTGCTATACTATGTACTACAGCCCGGATTCTTTAATGTCTTCATCGCAACGGTATCAGTTATTCAAACCGACATGACTATATCCTTTACGTCCTATATAGTTTTCCTTAATTGTTTTTGCTTTTTTTTTTGTTCACAGGAATCCGTGGATGGACTCGAAGATTCTTCATATGGCGGCCGCGGCCGCAGCTCACGCAAACGCCCAGGCCGCTGGTAGTGTAACCGCGTCATTGAGTGCATCGTTAAACGCGACGTCATTGGGAGCCGGGGCTTCACCTACCGAATTGTTTGCCGCAGCTCAGCCACCGAAAATTTCGGGAATTCCATGCGTAGCAGCAGCATCCCGTTATACGGCTCCAGTACACATCGATGTAGGAGGAACTATATACACGTCAAGTCTCGAAACGCTAACCAAGTACGTGCACAACGTGCATACAGAATGGGGGGCGGAGAAGTGAAGGGGCCAATCGTAAACGGGTTTCCAGCTAAGGTTATTTTACGGCTAAAATAAAGGCAACAGGACAGTTTCGCGTACCGGTCAGAATGAAGTGATTGATGCTGTTGGTTAACTTTTCGTCGAGCCGTAAGCATAATTCCATTTGATTCGTATAGGTTAATAGCGATGTAGCATATTTCCGGTGCCTATGATTCGTACAGGCCAAACTAATTTCGTAGTGAAAAATAATACCAATGCCTCTATACGGCCTCGGCTACATAGTCAGGTTTTATCAGGACCAATGCTGCTGATTTGGTTGGATTAAGAGGTCTAAAAGCTTCTAACCAATTTGGCTTGACATAACGGATACGCTACGTTGTTCTACCACTTCCATATATTTACTAATTATTCGAACTCAGCCCAGTTGTCAACTACGACGAAAATCTATTTTTAAAATGTCCTACCGTCGTTCACGTCCAAGAACATGGTCGAAATATGTTTGGCTTCGGATTTTTTTAACTTCGACTGGCCCTAACAGTCATTTGCTATAGTTCATCTATTTACACCGCATAAACGTCTAGCATTAATCGGTCGACAACGTCTGAAGACGACAGAGAATTTCTCTATCTTTTTCTGAATCCCTTTACTGGTTTCCCGTTTACAGACCCAGGCTTCAAAGACAACTGGGTACTCATTCAAAACCTTTCAATGAGGCCACTCCCTCGTGAGAGCAACTAAAGCATATTTTTGGCTTTCAGAATAAATTTTTACGAACTACCGTCACAAGCTAACTAACAAAAGCTATCCAACTATAATCGAGACGCACAAAACAGCATGATACGTATTTTCTGTTTAAGATATATACTGTGCCAAATAATTGTGCTGTATACCTGTCGTTACGACTTTGTCATGGTCCTTCGAATAGCAAAGAAGACACCATGAGCAGGGAGGTCGCCGCCTGGTGCATTATTGTCGTCGGTTTTATATTTTGGCCGATGACCATAGTAAAACTGTGCCTTAACTTCCTTTTGCATCGATCGCAGAAGTCCTTCTTCGTGTTGCTTAGCGCACCTGCTGTTTTTACATAGTGGCATCTCGAAAAGCTCGTGACGTATTTAACTTTAACTGTTTAAGTTTCGTCGTTCAAATAAACGATGTGCATTTGTGCAGCAGCGACAGTAGTTCAAGCAGCGATTGTAACGCTTGACCCGCTCGCTCTTACGCGGGGTACTTGCCTCGTCGGCAGCATCTGCTTTTCTTCTTGCTGTCACCAGAATCAGTTTGCCGCAATGGCGTTTCCCCGTTCGTCGTGCAGCTCACGGACAATGGCTTTGGTTCGAGTCGTGAGACACGGCTTGTGACAAGACATTCGTACCCAGTCGCGCATGCAGACGCACGCAGGCATTTATACAGACGTTTACCCGAGTACGTCGTATGAAATGTCAATTTTGATCGGGGAAAAAAATGGAGCCTACAAAGAAGATGATCACGTTTAATGACTCATGCAGGTAGCAAAACTATGGCAGATCGTTTACGCCCTTTTCGCTGTCACCGTTCGTTATGGAACAACACTTTCTTTACGGCTTTTCAACCTTGTCCCTTTTGTAGAACCACAGTGTCAACTACTTTTTGTTGGGAGATATTAGAGGCATTTCTGTTGACAAGGTTCAGATTTATGCTGATTTTGAAGATCCTCGCGTTGCTTAAAGATAAGCTGGATGAACTTAGGGCGTAAATTGCAAAATGGTGAATCGCGCAAAAACATGATTCGGACTAGCAAAAAAACAAAGAGGACGTAAGGGTAGTGTAAATTTCAGATAATTTTGGCGTCAGACTTTTTTCCTACGGTGAGCCGTACCGGCAATTTCTGTCGATTCTGTGTATGATTGGTTGCCTATCAAACGTGAAACAGCTAACTTTGTAAGTTACGTGTACTTATTATATTAAGACTTAGGATGCAATTCTTATAGATGAATTGCACCTTATATCACAGCTTAATTGGAACGTTCGATAGGAAACTTTTCGAACAAATTTACGTCGTAGGCCAGTTTCGTAAAGTACGGACCCCGATTGCGTTAGTTAAAGACCTCATCTCTTCAAACAGAAACTTTATTGATCTGAATTAGTCGCCTAGGCCTGCGTTAACACGAGGTCGTCGATGCTTTACCTTCCAAATGGCCACTTCTATACTAAAACTATTTGATTATTGTTTAAATGAATGTCATTACTAGTATGGTGGTTTGAGGGTAGAGTAGAGAATTGAGGTCATTCAAGTACTGGTACGTATATTTGGGGGCAAATGAAAAATCGACAGGCTTTACGACAACTACGTATATTAGGAGCAATCGTACATTACAACAAGGGTTCTCAAGAAGAAGCCTCCCAGACAAATGCAGTCGAATTTCTAACCGAACTGCTATAGGCAATGGCCAGCTCGTGAATATACATGCTTCTCCCTCTCAGCCAAGCTTTGAGATGCTCTTCTAAGTTTCCTAACTACGTTAAAAATATTCTCAAAAAGTCACGTTTACCGTCCGAATTCGATCACTATTAAAAGATGGTACATTAGTTCTCTACTTCGAATGAAAGTTAACGAGTTATGCGTACCGGCTGCCGGATCTGGCCTGAAAATGTTTGCTTGTCCCCATGGTAAGCGTTCAACTCGAACAGCGGAATCCAACACTAGCGGTTATTTGTAACAAACGCTGTTATTCTTGATGCTTTTATTGGTATCGCAATTGGCGACATGTCCTTACTATCGTACAATTTTAGCGCACTCTCGAAGCAGATGAGCTTCGCCGTGCATCACCCGAACGTGGGGGTAATTGTATTACTGGTACGTTTCTACTGACGGAATCGATAGCCCTCGTAGTGTTAATTGTAGCGGCCGACGATGGTAGCGCTGGAAAATGCATCGTCACAATCAGAGACGCCCGTGTCACCGTCACCGTCACCATCACAATGGTGATCATGATCATTCTAATTATGAAGATGTTGCTGTTGGCGTGAGCGTCGTACACTGAGCCTTTTTCGTGACACTGTGGTGGCCGTCACCGTCCATCAGTATGGCGGTGACTTCGTCATCGAACTGCTGCCGGTGGAGCAGAACGTCACCGAGATGGTTTGATCCCCGCTGCTGTATTCTGGCTTGTTTTTGTTTGTCTACGGTTTGCCATCGACATTTGTATAAAGCGACTAGATAGCGCCTGTCGCCTTGCCCAGTAGCCGTCACCGTCATTGCTTCTTGTTTTACTGTTGCAAGCGATGCTGTAAGACTAGCAGCGCCGATAATCAATAAGCAGTCACTTTTTTCCAGGAACGTTTGCGCTGCAAGCACGCTTGGCGTCGATCCCTTTTAGGGGGCTGAAATAAAAAAGTGAGCGACGTGTTTATCCGTCGTGCAGTTCTATGACGATGTGAGCGACTGTAGACGTACAGGCAGCGGCGACAGCAAACGCGCCAGCATTGTCTGTGTGTGAATTTGACCCCCGCTCCGGCGACCGGGTCAAGCGAATGCCGCCTGCGGAAAAGAAGAATTATTCGTCCACCGCCGTCACCATCACTACCGTTGCTGCTGTCGATGATGTTCCTGCCCTGCGGGGAAATATCTTCGCGCGCGAAGCGCTACCATGCAGGATCGGCATTGGCACGCTGGCGGCCGGCGCCGGTTAGCCGTTAGCTGGCGTTAGTTGTTAGCGTTGCGAAGCGACAGCGGCCAGCGCCGGGGATGAATTCGATAAAGGCCACGTTGCCAAGTGGCGCGTCGTTTACTCATGACTCGTTTTTACTTAACGTATCATAATGGCAGCAGCGGCAGAACTGCAGTAGTAACAATAGTGGTCACCTGAGATCAACACGCGTAAGTGGCGATAGGATTAATTAAGCTGCCTGTTAATTATACGGTAATGACGATAGTGGCGCGATGCACACAAAGACTTAAATAAAAACTAACATTATTGCAGACAAATACAGACCATAATACTATTACGTCGTATGGAACGTAACGACCGCAATTTGTCTGTGCACGCAAACTATCTCTTGCCTCACTTATACGTATATATAACTCTTATATGCGTATAGGTTAAATTATTAGACACAAATACACGAAATACAAAACGTTAAGATGCGCTAAGGGTAAGACTCGAAGATTAGCCTACGGCAGTATTAAAAACCGAATACGAAAATATTTTTAGCAGCTCAGAGATGTCATACGAGGGTCAACGATAACTGTAGGCCACCGTCTAATTTTGATTACTGCCACAGTGGGCGCCGAACACAGTCACATTGAAAAAAACTTCTTTCAACACGTTACCCATTCTGGCTGGCGTATACGCACAAAAGGTCAACGTGCCAAACGTCAAATTTCTGTAGAAAAAAAAAAACAGTAGCAGCTTGAAATATTGATGAAGTCATTATATCAGCATGCACTGTCAGCTATCCAGTAAAACAGTGGGGGACTGAGAAAGCGCACCGTGACCCAATGCTCAACCACATGAGGATTATGAAAACGAACTCAGTACCTCACACGAAGTACAATGAACTAACTGAGTCGGTTTCTGATGCTTGGTCTTCATAAGTGCACGTTTTAGTGCATGACAAAATAGGTTGTTGATCATGCTCATCTAAATTCAGCTACGCTAGTAGCGTTATGCTCTTTTGGATTTTTTTCATCACCATCATGGATGACTGTCCTAGGGTTACTGGCAGGCTGGTCACAAAACATAAATTGATAATCAATGGAGCCCTAAAAAATATTTAATATTAATATGTTAATATAATCTTCGGTTGTGATCAACATTTATTATCAGACGCAACGTAAAATATATCGAAGTATCAATCGGCGATGCATCAATCGTCGTGTGGCAAATTGCTAGATATATAGCTGGTATAGTAGATCCACAGTTTATCGTTACTCGGCATCATCGGTCCTGTAAAATTCGCATAAGTTAAAAATAAGTATTGCCTACTGCCAGTCTGTT